CTGAAAGAATTTCTAAAATCGGTGCCGCAGTTTAGGACTTTACTTTATGTAGAATAACAAAATCCTTTTTATAATATTGGTAATTAGGTATTTATTTATATAAAAACTCCTGTGACATTCTCACTGTTCCAATTGTAGAAAACTCGAAAATTATAAAAATATACTTACAACCTACGTTTCACTGATAATGTAGCTAACAATAGGCGAAAGACTTTTAAAAATGGGTTGAATATTTTTGAAGAGTACTCGTTACAAACAAACATCGAATCTTTTCTCTGTATAATATTTAGATATCATACTTTCGTATTCCACAAAGTTCACAGTTCACATTGGACCTTCGTAGTATCGATCTAGTTGGTTCAATGAACCAACACGAGTTGGAACTATATATATACATTTTATGTATCCTATATACCACATTGCTTATACAAAAATATTTTCTATAAGAAAAATTCCATTTTTTATATCATTGCTTAAATAATTTCGTCTAACAATTACATTAGTAGCTAATGTTAACAATTTCTTAGAACTTAGAATTTACTATCATTTTACATTTATTGTTGTCATATCAATTACAATGTACTTATATACATTTGCGTTACCAGCACATACAATTTTTATAAACTTTTACATTAGCAAGTTTTATATACCTTTACCTCAAGTCGAGTACGATATCAGGCATATAACTGCAAAGATCCAAGGGAGAACCTAGACATTGTAATATTCCTATCATTTCATTATGTCCAATGTTAAATTACAAGTTTAACCTTGGGACTCAAGTGATATCATTCAAAGGTCACCGTTTCAGTATCTAAGAGGTCGTTCTATCAATAAATCACTTTGGCATCCACGAAAATCGGTGCGTCCTATTCTGCGGCACTTTTGTTCGATTCAACGCACAAAATAGTCCAAAAGAGAGATGTCAGCATCGTAAAACATTGCTGAGCAAACCGTGACCTCATTAACGATCCAGTAGGTGTTACGAGGGTCGTAAAAATCCCTACTAAATTCCAGAATTAAGCCTCCTTTGAGTGTCTGTCATATCCATTTATAAATTAGCCGAGACGAGACGCCTCGCCAATGGAGTAACTGTCTCGAAAAGAAAATGGATTTGTGTGATGGCGTCGTCACGCTTGACTCACAATGTATTTTAGTTGGCGCTAATTACTTTTTGATGAGAGAAGGCTGAGTAACAAGATTATGAGATGCATTAAAAGTACGTCGCACATTCCACTTTTTCCTTATAATAGCGCTATTAGCACGTACATTTTTAAATGAGTGGGAAACGTTATGGGATAAGTTTAAGAGTTCAGTCAAAGAAACGCAAGCAGCTGGTCACATTGCGGTTAACCATAAACTGAACCTTAACGAACAATCGATAAGATCTTCAAACGACATAACCAAGTTTACAAATGCTAATCTCGCTTCTGTCGGGGTTATTGCGGAATTGTCTCCAACGTCACAATGAAAAGTTTAATTTCGAGTCTGTTTGCTTTCGCGTCCTTTTGACGATTCTATTCTGGTTCAACATTGTATTCAAACGCTAATTCTGCATTACCATTGATTGTAACAATGTTTCAATTATGCCAAATTGTATTTAATTGTTATCAAATAATAAGTACGAACATTTCAGTATCTATAAAATTGTATTCGTCTATGGGACTTTCGTCTTTGGTAATGGATATTTTGTATACACTGTCGATAGTTTCATAGTAACGGGGTTGAGGTTTCGTTATAGGTAATTAAAAATGTATAAAGAGTCGAGAGAGGTCAGTCAAAGGTTTCGGGTCTAATGGAATATTTATTTCCGATAGTAAATTATTAACGATACGGTAGTTTGAATGAAAATTCGCTATCTAAAAGTTTGCTGTATATTTTATCATGTATATGATGCTCCAGTTAGTTCGTACCGAGAAGCTCGGTGAAATAAATAAGCAGCGATCGCAGATAAGTACCACAACATTCAGGGGGAGTGACGTCGATTTACCGATAATGTCATCGTCGATATTAAAGCCAGTGAATAGATAGTTGCAAAATAACGCGTTCATTTGTAACTTTGTCTGACAACCTGTTATGCGATTTATGTATATATCAGCAGTTTGTGTACGAGACTTTGGTTGAGTCGTTCTAACTATATTATATATATTTATCTCTGGGATAATTATACTTTGACAACTATTTATACGATTTATGGTTTTATCAATTACGGCCTCAGTGGTCTAGTGGATATCGCGGGTTCGATTCCTCACACGATGCAAATCTTTGTATTCATAAGCATTATTGTTTGTATTGGTCTGGGTGTATTCTATGTATATTATATATGCACTTACAAAAAAAAAGCTATGTAGGTATTTGTAGTACTCATAACATAAGTTTTGCTTAGCTTGGGACTAGATGACGCCATGTGAATTGTCTTGGGTTATTATTATTATCAATTAGCTTTTGCACGTGATTCTGCGTTGTTGTACCAAGTCACAACCTGCTCATATATACGTATGATCTATCTTGATACATAACTTGTTATACAATATATGTAATCAACCGATTTTGATTTTGTTCTCTACCTTCACCTATTTACAGATTCAAATCCTATCTTAGAAAATGCCTATTCCATAAAAGAAACTTACTACCTATTTCAATTTGTAATCAAAGTTACAGTAAAACAAAATTGGGGAAAGTCCTGAATAAAAATGTATAAATAATTTGATATAGGCGTGGCTTGGTAAGCAATTTATACTTTTGTCAAGTAACACATATGGAATATATATGATAGTCCCAATCCGGGGATGATATCCATCATCAGAGACAGGGCACCGATAAAACATCGATGTGGCATTCCCGGGGCGATCCGGAGGGCACGTACCTAGGCCGTCTCCTGGGAGAACCCACGTCACCTCAGCCGATTGCGGTGAACTTATTCGGAATTACGGAATGAGATTGACAAAAGCATTGGAGGCTACGTTTTCATGCCATTTCTCGGTATATTTTCTTGTTATGTCCATATTGAATTATAATATATTCTGTGAATATTTTTCTTTGTAATTTTAGGGAAGTTTATCTGCTGAGAAAAGTAGTACCTAGCATAATATGCATTTAGGATATTATAGTAAAATAAATTGTATTACAAAAGCATTATGTGAAATGAATAAAATATACTCACTTACACACATCGTTTTTATTGGAAATATATATATATATATTTATAACTAAACTAGAATTAAGACTAATGATACAAACTCAAAACTAACAGATTTGTATTGAAACTTAGCTTCAAAATATGGTAAAATTTCTTTCTGAACAATATTTTGGTTGAATATTTAATGAATAATTTAGAAATTGATTCCATTATTGTATAAATAAAACCTTAGCGTCCCCGAAGGACAAAGTAGTTAGTAACTCATGCGAGCGTGAAGGCATTGTTCTCTTATAAGGACATCGCACGAATTGAATTAGTTATGAGTAACGGTTATAAATCTATAAAGGTAGCCTATTATAAGTCCGTACAAACACCGTTTAAACCTGGCTACACAAAATTAGTACTACCTAAGCTTCCTTTATTAATATTAACTGCAGTCCAAACTTAGTTTGAGGGAGCGGATGAAAATTGAAATTGATGAAAATTAAACGTTGATATTGAAAATTTTAAAAGTACGCTATTTATGAATGAAATTATTCCATTCAAGATATGACATGATATCTGAACAAAAATGCGATAGCAATGATAGTCATAATAATAACTGAGTAAAAGAGTATACTATAGTACGAACAATTTAGAACGTAAATGTTTTCTAAGTATAAAATGAGTATGTGTAGATGTACAAAAATTTGGATTAGAATTTAATAGGGAAAGTAAATTTCGCTGTTGATTTAGGTACTATATCACCTTGTCATGTAGAAGGTGACAGAACATCATATAGAAACGGAGTTCGTAGGAGTAAACATGTTTATGAATAACATTTTGACACGAAGCGTGCCTTTGATTACAAATTATAAGCAATGTGAACAAGTAACTGCCATATGGTTACCAGACACTTATCATTGTCTACCCTTGAGTTCAATAAATAACGAGGTAGCAATGTAAAGGTGAGTATTTATAGTATTGATATATTTTATAGACAAACTACAACTTTACTAAATTAACCTCATCAAGTGATAGTTGTTTGTAAAAATATTTCAATTACAAGTGTAAGAAAAGGGCAAGTAATGCATCAGAAAAGCAGAATAGTGTAAGTGGAAAATACAAAATGATTCTTTATTCAAAAGGTTTATTACTACAATATAGGCTACAGATTACTACAGAATTTATGGCACGGAACTGAATTGTCTAGCAATCATGTTATTGGGAGCACATCAGAATAATTTGTGACAGTCATGAAAATTTAATGTCGTAACTCCATTTCCGCGAAGTGACTTCTTCGTAAGGTTGGCATTACATTTTTATTCCTCTTACTCATATATAAAGACAACTATTTGTTAGATCGCTATACAAAGTACATTTGTAAATGCAAAATGAGAGTGGTCTGAGATGCGGTTGATATTTACTTAAGTAGCTTTCTATTATAAATCAGTTCTTGTAATTTTAATGTGTTCTGTACGTCTCTGGTACTATTATAAAAAAAAAAGCTTGTCGTGTCGTTTTGATATTACTGTTTGGAAAATAAAAATAAATGACGCTATCAAAGATGCCCTGGAAAATGTTTGTATAAATTTTTACTCGCCAACTACCTACTATGTATTGTGTTAAAATTAGCATCATAAAAAGTATTAGCTCGGTCATTCATGCCAGTAATAGCTTGTTTAACATTTTATTAACTTAAAAATAGATTGCTTTTCAGTATGCAGACCAATTTAAGGTCTGTATAAATATGTACGTTGTTCATAGGTATTGGTATTACTTGAGACAGCTTTATTTTCGTGAGGTATAAAGCCTTGACTTCTAGAGTGTTAAAATTGAATGAGCATGAAAAAATATGTTAATTGTTAAAAACTAGGGTACAGACCATCTGTGGGCGATGTGTACAGCTTCTTGCATAACTCCTGCGGACCACCGAGTGCGTTGATCTTGGCCAGGCCCTCGGCGCCGCGGGACTCCATCAGCTCCCGAAGCTGCCGGAGCGAGACGCCATACTGCGCCGGCCGCCCCTCCACCGTCGCCATGGTGCCGGGCTCGCGGCCGCCGCCCGCACCACGCCCGACAACCCTCTAGCTCTGGAACAAGTAAACATCAATTTAGTAAGATCACAAATGTAAACCTCAGGACAATCGGATGATATGGAATAAGGCCGAACGAAGGAGAGAGCAAAATCAGCAATTTGCGATGACACACTCATTTACTTGATCGTGGTCAAGTATTACCAATTCTCACAAAATTAAGCATTTTAACAAAATCATTAAATTCATATTATATACCACATTAATGAAATTACAGGTTAAGTGGCATGACACCTTAGACCTCTGGAAATGGCAACGCATGAGGTATTGCAGGTTTTACATGAGGTGGTGCATGAGAAGATTTTTGCCATTCCACTTAAATTAAAAAAAAACATCATCACGCGGTGAAGTCTCACGATATAGTCCTTTATATTAATCTACTTTGCTTAAATGTGAGGTCTTAATCTCGTCTTCTCATGTAAGATAATGTTGTAACTCGTGTCCCTACGCAATTGATGTTCATTTACAATTCAGATTGCAATGCCATAAAACTGTTTGTCGTTGTTGATGTTGATGGGGGCGTTTTTATGTCAACAACATTTTAATTGGATTTTGTAGCTTTAAAAAGAAGTTCAAATAGGATCACCTGTGGATTTATTTTTGTAATAAGGGAAATTGATAGATATTGATTCAATCTGACAATTCAAGAACGTAAACACTCAGAATTATTTATGTTGAGTGTTGATTCCGTATGCGCAAAATACTCACCATAAGTAGGACATAATTTATCTAGAAATCTTTAATTTATTTACACAATTTTAATTGATGTATGTAGGATTATAAATATGACTGCTTTTTATTGCATTAATAATCTCAAAATAAGCCTTGAGACGAATTACTACATATACTACTAGTAAATGAAGCAAAAGATAAATGTAGTACTACTGATACAGGTTGAAGAGAGACTTAGAAGAGCCTTAGGTATGTGACTATTGTTCGTGCAAGATAAATCTGGCAAGAAAGATATTATATCGTTAATAGAAAGTTACTTCCTTCCGAATTCGTCCTGCGTCATCAATTCTACTTTGATTTATTGGTGTTAGTTTCACCCAATTAGATCATAGTAATCAGTACCCATAACATGATGAATGACCTACCCAATCACACGATTTAACATGGATGAGGAATGATTACTTGGTTGGTGATTGATACTTGTTTCTTATAGCAGTTGTATATCTACTACTACTATAGGAAACTAGTAAAAGTCTGACATAGAAGGAATCACTCTCATAGAATTTAAAACAAAATGAGTCTAAAAACATTGCAATAAGACTTTTTTTATACATTAAATGATTGTCGCCATTTCCAACGGGACCTTTATATACAAATCTACTAGTATATATTATTCTTTGTACTAATATATTCAAATATTAATTATGAATAAAATAATATAAGTAGTAGACTTATTAGTCTCTCATTAAAAATCAGTCATAAAAATATATATATAAGACATATAAATTCAATACAGATATTAAAATTAGAGTAAAATTTTCCTCTAATATCATCGGCGCGTTCAGTATTTTTTTGAGTGGGGTTCGCGATGAGGGCGTGACAATTATGCAGTTAACGGCTATGAATATTGAACGTGAAAGCTTTTATCTTTCATAAATGTCAAATTTTAGAGGATATTTATTATGGAACAGTTCACAACAAAACATTTCTTTCACCATTTGTTATTTCCATGGTTAGTATTGATTTGGACAAAATTGAGGACGATTACACACGGATATGTAATGGCATATAAAAATACATAGTCACGGCACTGATAACGTATAGTAATTGCAGACAGTCAACAGTAATTTTATTGTAATGGTTAATTTGTTCAAAAGCGTGTTAAATGACACGACAGATAAACAAGTAGTAATAGTTAGCAATAAATAATGTCAATGAAATAAAATCAAATACGTTTTAGGAAACAACTAAAACGCAAGCGTAATTCAATTGAAGAGATGATATTAAACATTCAAACGTCAGCAGTTGCAGATTACAGTAGAATAATTGACTTCCCTAAAATGTTAATTCATTCATTATACAAACGTGTTTGTTGTTAACATTATGGTAAGCCAGCGCGTATACTACGCACAGACGAGCTGTACAAACAGATTAGTAGTAGAAGCAAGGATTTGGCAACTATAGACATAATATGGAGAACAACGCCTCGTGGATACGTTACCCAAATATATAATACTGTTTTTAAATATCACTGACATAAGTGTAACGAAAAGGATTGTTATTGTACAATATTTAAAAATTGGCATGATACAATAAGCATTAGAGACAGAGATACCTGCAGAGATCTATTAGAATTTGATGGCAAAGTTATATTTGTAGCATATTGAACACCTGCGAAGGCAGTTAACACGTTTTTTATAGACCAATAAAATCATCTGGTGCCTATTGCAATGTTATGCATAATTTAAAGGGCTGTTGGAAGTTAATAAAATTGGCCTCCGTTAGCTTACTGTAGGAGAGTTGTGGTTATAACATCCGTATCTGCAATACACTTACAACATTTATAACTTTTGCAAAATTACAGTTGGAAAGCTAATGAAACTGTTGAACTTTGAAATCTCTTGCTATTGGATATAAATATATTCCATGTATTTTGTGACAATTCTAATAAGAGTACATTAGATAAAAAAGCTGTATAGAATACAATTTACTTAGACTTTTTAAGTTATCTATGTCACAATGTCACATTGATTCTTGTCAGTAGATTACGAGTACAAAGTAAGACCTTGCCAAAAATAAAGGGTTAAGTACCCCATAAAGTGAACAGTATACACAACAGGAGGGAGAATGAGGAGGGGAAGGCAGAACTAACTCCCGTATTTTATGAGCAACATTTTGAGTATTTCGAGCGGAAATTATGTTCGCCGTAGCGACATGTACGTAAACTCCAGATCTTTGCAGATTGTTTATTGTTCCTGTCAAAGTTTGCTTCGCTTCATAAGCAATTAAATTATTAGCCAGAGCTAATAATTCATCACTGTCTTCTTCGAGTAAACAAGGGTTAACGTTACCTTCAGATTGGTATTATTACAAGCATTGTTATAAAATTAGATCATCATGATTCTTATCTAAATTACCACTTCTCGATAATCCCATAACATACTCCTACATTACATTCTTAGTTGTTAGATTTTCTTTAACGTACTAAAAATGGCAATAGAACGAACGAGAAAACAAAGACGAAATTCTTTCAGAATCATACAAAATATTTAAAAAATAAATGTTCTAATTCCAATGACCTTATTTAAAGCTTCATTATTATAAACAACATCTGAAGTACGTGTTCGCTATTAACCCTCGGTAAAGAGGGATGAGCCGAGAGGGCGTACCCTACGAGGGTTGCCTGCATCCGGGTTGAGTAGTGTTGAACGGCCAGCAATTAGGTCGGTAGAGTGGCCAGCTTTGTAGTATGCGCTAGCTTGAAGTTGGATCTTTTAGTTTTACCGATATGTGTATAAGTTCAGCAAGGTTAAGAAATATTGTAACAAAAATATTTCAACATAATTTATAATAATTTTTTCTAAAATATTGAACTTAGAGAATAAATATATTATACTATTTTCTCATTCTTAATATAAGTTAGAGAAAATAGATTTTGCCACATCCAAATTAAGAAACCGCTGCCGGTAATACAACAAATATTTTTTTCCAAGCAATTTCAGTTCAAAACTCTTGACGTCTGACATTTGAGACTGCCGGTTACTTAGAAAATGTCAAAGTATCGGGTGGAAATAATTAAATAAATCACAATTAGATCAAATGAAAGTGGTCTGAATTTTCATTTCTAAATTGCGATGAGACGAAATCAGAAATACCAATCAACTTGTGGGCTCTTCTGGGAGTTTAATCAATAATAATAAAGAGATAAATTTTGGAACTTGACAGAAGAAATTTTTTCTAGATTATTTGAACAAAATACTATTTCTACTATCATCTCCACTTTTATATTTTTTTCTAAGAAATGTTGCTTACTTCTTAAAACGAATTTAGATAACACAATAAGATAAAGCAAAATAGATCAATTGAGCCTGAGAATTTCTATAAACTATAGAAGCCTCTTAGAAAGTGTACTAAAGGGCTCCGAGTACTATACCATGTACTAGTATTTAGGCTGAAAAGCGTACAGGAACGCCTTTAAGTGGGTCAATCATGGCGTTTCAGTGCAAACTTGGCACAACGAGGCAAACAATCTTGATTGAAAGTGCCCCTAATCGGTTACACTGAACAGGATTAATCGATGTGTGCGGCTTGCGTACGTGGCCTCCATTGATTAATGGATCTAGAGACCCTGATATATTAAAGTTGAATTTTGCTTCTGTAATTACATACGACAATCTTCATTGTCGATTTGTTTTTTCTTGAAACATCATTTGATTTTACTACGATTATTTTCAGGCGTGACGTCAAGATTTTTCTTTTTCGTTAATTCTTTTATCTCACATGTGATTTTTAAATTTCTGAAATTTTTATTTATTTTAGTCATTTTACTGCTGATGCAAATTAGTTATTCATCGACTATAGAAAGGTTGTTGAACTATTGTGTAACCAACAATTGCGGTCGTTGTCATTACCGTTAGTACTTATTGTTATACTTTTTTTTTATAAAATGCAAACGCTCACTGACCTCCATTCCTGTAATAAAACAAAACCCAACAATAGAAATACGTATTGATAGGTATATATATAAAAATTCAATGTTTATGTTGAAAGGTATTACTTTAATGTCCTTGTGGTGATAAGTAACTATACAATTTGTTACTACTACTTTATATATCAATGACATAGTAATTGAGTTCATTTGAACAAATTACAAATACATTCATAAGAGAGTAAGAAAACTTGTAAGAACCCTAAATCAATTGATCTAGTCAACATGGTAATATCAAGTTAAATGCTCTTCTGGGGAGAAAACCATAATCTGTATTCCGTTTGGTATGAATGATAATAATAATAACCCTGGACAATTCACATAGCGCTATCTAATC